TCTCGTGAAATAGCTTCTCGTTTATAGAACAAATCATAAATATATCGTGTTCGTTGATGATGAATCCTGAAAGAAAGGAAGTGTGTAAAAGGAAGTTAACAGATCGAAGATAAAAAAGAGAACACAGAATAGTTAAACAATTGCTGTGCCCAAATTGACAACTTTCACAAAATTTTCACTTTTACTTTCACCTCGATCACCGAAATTTTAGATCAGTCGGCTTCATAGAATGATTGACTTTTGACGTGACTATAAGATGAGAGCTGTTGGTGTAAAGTTTGGGGAGTCGATAATCCATGAATGATAGGTGAAAAGAAAGTCATACACACTTCAAGGAAGGTTCATTAAGAAATTCCGTCCTCGTCTTCCAGTACTTTGCGTCTTCCACAAACGTGGATTTATGCGGTTGGAAGTTTTGAAGTTTACAAGAGCAGTCGAACGTAATTTGTACTGCGCTCTACTGGATTAGTTGAATCAGCACTTATTCCACTACCGTTAGGCAGTGCTGAACAGCAGACAAGAAACCACTGTTCGAAGTTAACAAACGCAAAACTCGGTCGAGATCAAATTGATCACCCGCTCCTTTTTCCTGATCCCGAGATCTTGCTGAAATTGTGCTTCATCTTATTATACCTTTCCTTGCAATCCCTTGAAAGGAACAAAAAATCGATGAATAGCTTGAAAAACGAGATGAGTTTGCGAAAAAAGTGTGGTAAGCGAAAATAATTGTTATGACTCAGAAAACGATGAAAAAATCCGAAACTGCAAACCTGAAAATAGGCCACAGAGTTTCAGTACGTCGCTTTCCCTCATGTGGATCCGTTTCAGCTTCACGCATCTTTGCTTCGAATTCTTCCAATGTCGGTTCGATGAGATCCCAACCCTCTGGGGGTGGCTTACGAATACGACGAAGTTTAGTAGTAAGGGACATCTGAAGTACTTAAAATACAACTTTCCACCAAAACGTTTACCTATTTTACAAATTGAAATGACAAAGCGAAAACATAACGATGCGCTCTAATTCGAAAACAAACGAAGCATGTAAGATTAGTGGGTTAGGACGTAAATGCGACTTATGCGCTTTTGCCGCGGCTCACAGTATGGATTCGGATAGAAAACGGGACCGTAGTGCAGGGTCGCCGTCGTCTACGCTCACATACAACCTTGGTGAGACCGGAGAGGAAGTGATTGCAGGACTGGAGTATTAAGGATAAGGTCTTTCGGCGTTGAACAATCCCGTCTGAGGAGTGCGCATTCGCATCCTGCATTTGACTTCCACTCAGATTTGTAGTGGCATATTGGACGCGTATGTGGCCTATACAATGACTTGTGGGGGTCATCCAATGTACAGGTCAGTGCTTTTATCCTCCCAGACGAGTCTGGTACCAATTAACCGGTCCCGGAGGGATGGAAGGCTTGGTTGGTTAGGCGGATATCGATGCGAGGCTCGAACCCGCGACCATGCTTGGGAGGTAGTGCGCCACTATAGCGCAATATCTTACACGAACTGATTGCGTGAATAGCGCTTAACGCTTAAAACAGTTACAGATCCATCACTCACTGAGGTAGGAACACAAGGGGCAGGATATTTGCCAGAACTTGTCTGCCAGTATTCAAATAGAAAAATGCTCATCCCTGATCAGAAGAAAAATTTCCGTAACAAGGCGACATTCCACGTCTTGAACCCTTTACCGAAAACTGGTATGCTGAAGGGTCTCTGTTGACAAAAGGCAAAATAGACATTCATAAACCAAGCAGAGCCATGAAAAAGGCTTCTATCTTCGCCGTCATTCCTTCATTTTTTCGAGCACGTTTTTCAGCGCATTCAAACGCTCTATGGATAAGAAGTGGTGGTGTTATCAATGCAGTGCATTCACCAGTTTATCAGATTTTGAGTGGGCAAATACGCACCATTTGACCTTACCCTTTCGCCCTGAAGTGTTGCCTTGCCTTGCTTGGAGGTATGTCATTCAAAACACTCCTAATATAGCTTGCCACGCCATGTTCCCCGAAAAACCTAGCAGGAACCTGCAAGTAAGGCAGAAAACTGCAGTTCGAGCCTGGACCTGGAACAGGGTCCAGAATCCGTCAAGCTGCGTGTCGTTTCGTATGGAACATATTCGCAAGACACATCACGCTGGATGGACAGTGCTCCCACCGAAACCTCAAACAAACTAACTAACTGTTTTCAACAAACCTCGAGCAAAACTTTTTGAACAAACCCCACCACTTAATGTTCACAAACGAACGGTGCAGACGTCGTCGGCTGCCGCTCGTTCATCGCGCGCGACGGTTTGTGCGGTGGACGAGTTTTTCGCCTCAAAATAGTGTTGGCGGGAGCTTTGAATCTTTCAAATTCGTGGCTTGTTTTGATGCTTTTTCTTCATTTTTCCCCAACGTATTTAAGTTTGAATTTCGTTTTTTCTTGTCGAAACTCTGCATTCAGGCATGGATTGTGAAGTTCGCCTCCCATCTGGCAAAGCTCTATCCACACTGAAGGTTAAGGACTTACAGAAGGAGCTCAGCAAACGTCGACTGTCTAGCGTTGGTAAAAAGGCGGAACTTTTGGCAAGACTTACGGAGGTTAGATCCTTGACTTTCTCCGCATTAAATGTGCATCATGTCGACTGGACAGTATTATTTTTATTTAGTTCTTCACGAAAGGTGAATCTCACATAGGTGATGGAAACAAGACGGAAACAACTTTTCCAAAGGTAAGTTATGTGTGTTGGACGAGGTGGCTCGTTTTTATTATTGATTTTGTTTCAGGTAGGTGGAGATACCAAGCAAACAACTGAGGAAGGACATGACGAGAAAAAAAAGAGTAGGCGTAGAAGCCATTCAAGATTGAATGAAACATTCGAATATATCGAGGATGGAAAAGGTTGGTACCTTATCGTTTTTGTTTCATGAGCCTCCTTTATTTTAAAGCAAATGCTTTTTTTGAGAGTCTTCTTTTCTCATACTTTCTGTCCGCCACTGTTATGACCTCCCATTTCATTCGAACAGGAAGGAGCTTTGTGTCTATCATATAGGCTGTACTAGTATAGGAGAGCAGAATTCAGTGACCTTTAGTTTAAGCATTATTCGTAGAACTCTTCAAAACAATCATGTAAGACAAGTCTTCTTTTTCTCATCTATTCTCAGCATACTTTCACCAACAATTATATAAGTAAAGCGACCCCCAATGTCTTAATGTAGGTGGTATCAACAGACTGGTGTAGTTAATCTTCATAGGCTATTAGATGTATCTATCCCCTGACTATAGGCAGCAATGTGCAAGCCTGATGTATTGTTAGCTTCATTCTTTTCTCGGATGAATCAAATCCGGGATTCGAGATACTCTTATCGGGTGTACGTGCGTTTGCTAGAGCGAAACAGGAGCTGCGCTTTTGAAGGAATACCACGAAAAAAGATCAAGTTTATAGAGTAGGTTTGAAAGCTGTATTCTGTTATTATCAACCCGATCATCTTTGGGCTCTCCACCACCGAACAATACAGTCACTCCGCAAGGGAATAGCACATCGCCACTCGTGAACGCTTACCATCGCAAAAGCAGTCGTCAATCCAAAGATCGACACTCACATGGAGATGGTACCATTATATTTATTCTAGCGGTTATCTATTTATTCTGTATTAATACCCTTTAGGTGAGAACGTCGTAGAGGAAACAGCTCGTCCTCAGACTCCTCGAAGTTCAAGGAAAAACCGCCGCTCCAGCATTATTCAGGCGACTACAAAAGCCGCTTTACAGTTCGGCGAAGGTGATGGAATTTTATCAAATTGGCTAATAACTGCGAGTAGAACCGATACTAAATAGGCTGATTCGAGCTCCAAATTAGGATGTAAATGACATTACCGCTACTTCAATTGTTCATCAACCCTACCGACAATTCGGTTCTCAATTGTCGGTAGGGTTGTTGCCGCTATATCATATGTGGTTTTAAAGAAAGCCTTCCAGAGTTCCTCACTGACGACGAATCCGAAGCAAATCTGAAAGGCTCGGACATTTGTTCTGGTAAGATTTCCTTCATTTAGTACTTAGCATTGTAAAGCAGACCACAGAGTAAGGAGCGAAATGATTTACCAATTTTCAGTACTAACGAATTAATTATCAATCTCCAATACTGAAGTTCGCGCAACTCTTCTGTGGTGCTGTAAATTCGAGCTCAACATTTTCATTCATATAGGGTTCTTAGCTGTAATATAGTAGAGATTAGTTGTAATTGAAAGTTAGAATTCCGGAGTGGAGCAGGTTTCCTACGATGAAACCTTTCAGTTGCTGATTAGTTCGACAAACACTTTTCTTATAAACCATCAAGTATATCCACCAACATCGAAAATTTGCTGAGCTTGAGCAGCCCAATGAATCAAGTGGAACTGACTAGTTGTACTCTGACTGAATTAGAAAGCAAGCTGAACTTTTGAAAACAAACAGATGTTAGGCTATTGAGTTACGCATTGAAAAGTGAACTGTCGGAAGGTAGCAAGGTGAAATGCATTCGGCTGAATGATAGGTGCACAAGGTAGAAAATGAATAGCGATAATGCAGAATGAGCTCTTGTAACTTCAATGAGAAAGAGACCTAGAAATTTTGGGAAATCGTACGCAATCTTCTGTAATTATGACCATTTGAGGCATTCTTAGTGCAGTCAATGTTAATTAGACCTAGCAAAACAATTAGATAGCTGACGTAATGTAAAGAAGTGCGTGGTGCCGAGCAGAGATTCTATTTATTTATGATTGTTGCCACGAATGATTTGACCGAATGGCTTACCTTCCATTACACACATACTTCTCATAATGCGCACCTAGCCCAATCGTGTGAATCTAATACCTCTTGGCCGTCTGAACATAGATTCGTTGTTTCAGACTGCATGGAAAAAGAAAATGTGTCATTGTCCCATCACAACGCAGACACTAGGAATCGCTCTACGGCACAGCCAGCTTCAGATAAAAATGACATAAGGTCCGCGGTCATTCCTGCTGTGCTGATTTTGTATTTATTGTTTTATCTTTGAGCGCTTTGAGTGATGTTAGATACGAGTAGTACAATTTTTTTAGTAGACTTTTCAGATATGTATTGTCAGCTAACAGAAGTCTTGATCAGGAGAATCCAAGACGTATCTCAGAGACTTCCAAGCACCCCGAAGTATCTGTCTCCACACCAGCTTCAAAAAGCAAGAGATGTGGTGGTTTTGCTGCTTCAACCGTATCTTCGGCTGTGAAAAAGGCCTCCCGAAAGGTTTTTTCATTGCGACCTCAATTAGTGTTACTTAATATTCCGCGATTTTTTGAACGAAATGTGACTAGCTCAAATTAATCACTTGTGGGGAGTTCGGCATTAGTAGTGCGAGTGTCAACCTTATAGAAGGCTGTGGCTTTATAGAAGGTAAACAACTTCCACAGTGTGGCATGAATGCTCAGCTCCTCACAGGCACAACAATGACTCCGTAGAACTGTTTTCTTCATACTTTTGCTGTTCAAAGTGGATTTAAACATAAGAAAGAATCTCTTATCTTCCGGCGTCATCGTCAAAAGGCGAAGGAACAAGCAAGAAGAGTAAGAAGAAGTCAAAAGGTTACAACAGTTATGATTTTAGTCTAAAATTCCATCTCGTACGAAATCAACAAGGACGATCATTGAAGGTCTCCCGTCTTCGTCACGTTCCATCAGGAAAAGTAAAGGGTATAGGAAGTCGAAGGAGATTTCCCGTAGGTTTCCAGCAACCGATTTCGAACGAACCTTGGATGTAATTCCTTTTTTTGCAGCAACTAAGAATTTCGCTCGTCAGCATGCCCGCATGTTTGCGAAAATGGAAACCATTGGTGATATGCATGAAAGAGTTACACGCAAACATGAACAGGTTATGCAGGCCGTTCCAGACGTGGTGAAGGTAAATGGACTTCTTAAGAACGTTTGCTTGAGGCCAATGTTTTGTAAAAAGTTACTTATCTTTGTATGTGCTAAATTATATATAGACTGTTACTGTTCCTTACCGAGTAGCTCCTTGGAAAACTTTTTCTGCGACTGGTTTTTATAACTGGACATACCGCTTCACTTACACTTTGAGTACCGCTTTCCCGAACTTACATTTGCTTAGCTGCCTTGATGAGAATGAATTCCTGTGTGCTCTGACAGAACTATCCTGTTACAAATGCTCGTTCTTTTTAACGTCTCCTCCTTATTTCTGCTAACTCCTCGCTTTTTTCCTATGTGTAGGAATTGTGTATTAATAGGATTATTTGCGTACACGCCAATCACATGCGGGATAAAAGGCACGGGTCACAATTGACACATATAGCACTTTTTCAGCGCCTTGCTACACCGAAATCCGTCAGTAAAAAGTGTGAACGAGAGAAAGACTTAGCAAAGAAACCTGGGTAAGATAACCTTCTTAAATACACGGAACGTTTATTTCAGTAATGCTTAAATTGCTCCTCAATTATTCATACGTTCATGATTTTCAGTTACGTTTTCGACGTGTCTAAAGCTAGAATGACTGTTAATGAGTCCTCCTTCAAGTTTGGAAAAGTAGAAAACTACCCTACGCAGCAAATACAGGTTAATTATAGCTGCTTTGTGAATTAATCAGATTCATTCGTTTCATTCATCCTATATAGCCGAGGCTGTTTTTCTTGATCGGAATCTTCATTTTATCATAGTTCAATTGCAGGGCACCTCGGGAGCAGTGGTGAATTCCTTCACTCTGAAAACAGCTAAGACGCAAGATCGAGTAAGTACTTACGAGAAATATTGGGTAACCGACTGAAGATTTGTTGATAATTCGGTTCAAATTGTAACACTTTTTCTGGTTTCCAAATCGTTTAAATTTGAAGTTTTGTTATAAGAACGGGCCATAAAAGTTCAGTTATCTCACGGGATTAGTGAGTTATGGACAAAACTTCGGAAACTTTACTTGGCAAGTTAAAAAGCACGAACACACCACGCTCTCTAATCATCGCTGGCTCACGGTTTGCACACTACTTACGAATCCTACTAGTCGTAAATGCAGGGTTTGGTATTACCGGATTTGCACCTTCTTTCCTGCTTGGCGTTTATCGAGTAGTCAGTCAATCAGCAGAAATCAGTTATTATAGTAGTCGTCTTTTACAAGAACGTTTTACTATTTCAGAGGGATGTCAAATCACGAACCAAAGATGATAGCAAACGGAAGACTTTGAAGAAATTGATTTCCGTGACGGTGCCAACAGACAAGGAATCCATTAATTTGCTGGCAACGCCAAAAGGAATGACTCCCAGCAAGCGTAGGATACTGGATTGAGGTGGCGCTAATTTCATTGTAATTCTACAGGGTTTACGCTTTGCAGCTCGTGGAAAGGTGTCCTATACGCCTCATCGTGGAGTAGTAACTTTTGTGGACACAACCAAATTGACTGATCGGGAATATGAGCTTGCAGTTGCTAGCGGATTGATCAAGGCAAAAAGTGCAAGGTGAAATCTATCTCTTGTTATGAACCCATCATCGTGGTTTGTACTATGCTCGAATTCTATTAGAATCGCGCAAACCAATATTCTTGCAAGTTATATCATATTTTGCTTAGGTCTTCGGTCCGTTTGGAATCGAGCAGCAGAGCCTCAATAGGTGACATTCTGAATGTTAAAAGAAAGCTCAACATCGTTCAGTAATTATTCGCTATTCATATACACTGTATAAATACTTACTAACGTCACGAAATATTCTTCCGCATATTAGTAGCAATGTTCCTCAACATTAATAGTGTCTTTGTATGACTATCCTTTCGTGAAACGTCCTCACATTCCACTTATTGAACTCTACTAACAATCTTTACAGTCTGAATGATACTAGTGTAGACAGTCTTTTATTGGAATAAAAATGGATCCAATTCAGCACACATTTGCACAACAAATGTTAATGTTTATGAATGTTCCTACTGCTATTGAGTGGTTCCTAAAAGTGTGAAATGATGGGATTTTATACAGCTTTAATAGAAAAGTCCGTGGTCAGTTCAAGAAAATAAGGAAAAATTGGTACTGTTGTCAGACTGTATGTCATTCTGAATGGAACTGTTGGGCATCATGAATGCGTTCGAAGTATCGTAATGTTCTGTGTTGAAGCTACGCTAGCAGTGGTGAAGATGTACAGGGTGGGCCAAAATTATGATTACACAGAAATCACATCGCAGAAAACGAATAGAAAGCCAATAGAGCAAACCAGTTTCATTAAAGGGTTTATCACAAATTTCTTATCAAAACTGTACATTGAGACTGGGATCTGTTGCTTCCTGCTTTCACCCAACCCCAA